GACTTGAGTAGTGACACTTTCTCAAATTATTATGACTTTTTCAAAAGCATCCTATCATTGTCTTTCTGCTTATGTTTCGTTCAAGGATTTAGGAAGGAAAATAAAAAGTTTTCTCTCCTTTTCCTCACCGGCCAAAATGAAAGGGATTTGGTATTCTTTCTTCCTATATTGGTTTTTGTCTCAAATTTTGTTTTCTTTTGTTTTCCTTGATTAGTAACCAAACTAAACAGAATGTTTTCCATACCATTTTCTTTTCTTTTCTCTCAAATTACTTGAACCAAACTTAGTGTAAAGGTGGTAGCTTATCCTAAGTCGCTTCATAATTTGCACCGTACTATAAGAGTATTTGCGCTTAGCATACACATAGGAATTATTTCTGTTCAGTCTAAAAAATTGCATATTGTCATTATTTTGTGATTTTCATGGCCCATGCACATCATTTTATGTGATTTTTTTATACATACGCCATATTGATGTAAAACAACATAATAAGTTTGTAATCTTTATTGTAGTTAATGCAAACTTTTTAAGCACCAGAGAATATATGTTTTATAATATATATACTAATTTATCACATGTTGGGTTTGGTGTTGTTGGATTAGTTTACGAGCATTCAAGCCGTCCAGCTTATCAACTTCCTATATCTAATGTAAGACCTGCTTATCACAAGTGTAGGGTTAATTTCAAATCTGAAAATGAGTTGTATAATCTATTTGCCTCTAGCTATATTTTAATATATGTTCATAAATACTGCATTTAGCTTTACACTATCTTTATAGGGTTTTGAGGCTTTTCAACTCTGGTGAATCTCAACAACACATAAATAGTACCACCGAGCATTGTAACTTTTTGAGTGGTACATTATGTTGTCAAACACACATGTATTGAACATGCATAATACATTCTTATTTTAGCTTCAATTTCTTAGCTTTGACCGATGACAAACAAGCTAAGCCAATTATATATGTATATTGTCCTTTTTATCTTTTCCACCTCAAATCTCCCTAGAGTTATTTTAGCCTCAATTT